GTCCCCAGGCTGGAGTGCAGTGGCACAATCTCGGCCTACTGCAACCTCTGACTCCCTGGTTCAAGCAATTCTCCTGCCTCAGCCTCCCAAGTAGCTGGGATTACAGGCATGTACCTCCACGCCCAGCTAATTTTTCTATTTTTAGTAGAGATGGGGTTGCACCATGTTGGCCAGGAAGGTCTTGATTTTCTGACCTCATGATCCAGCGTGCCTGGCCTCAAATGGCTTCTTATCTGTTAGATCAAACACATTGCCTTCAACAGTTAAATCCTAACATTTTGAGAGAATATGGTCTGGTTGTTTTAGTGACCAAAGGAACTTCAAAAAGCAGGAAGTAGAGTTGCTAGAATCGAAACGTATACTACACAATAGTCAGTCAGCCACTGGAAAGAGACTGAGAGAAAAAAACATCAGTGCATTGATGATATACTACCACTTTTTCAAGAACATAAAAAATTCTTGCTACAAATTATAAGATTATAATTTTAAGATTGCTGTGCATATCCTTTCAGGCTACATGAATATACAACTACAAAATCCAAGTATCTATTTACTAAGATCAAAGAAATGCTGCCAGAAGGCTTCCATCCACTTCTGAAGATCTTCTCTATTGTCAACTGCAAAAATCTGAGTTATAGCTTGTCCAGGAACAGGATTGATGACAGAGAAATTATGGATTCTTTTATTGGCATCCTTATCCATTGCCCGGATTCTGGTTTCCTAAAAATTAAGAAAAAAATTGGGGTTTTGCATCAGAAAATTTCTGCAATGATCAAACAAATGTTTCACTGCTTAGCTGCCATATTTATATCTGATATAACCATAATCTTATTACTGATCATTTGAAATTTAAAACATCTAATTTTGAGAATTTTTTATATTCAAATTTCAATCTAGAAGTTTTTTAAAAAAGAATGCTTTATATTAAAAAACTGAATGTTTTTAAGTGTGCTATATATAGCACTTATGCTAAATTATATGAGATTAAAACATAACCCCTGTTTTGATCTAAGTAGAAGTTTGCTGTCTTTTCTATACATCTTAAAATTTCCAATAAAACAAGTACAGCATGTCATAACTGTAATGTGGATTATATGCTAACTATATTTCAAACTAATAAAACAGAATCAGTAAAGTATGTTTCTTATTCTAATATTCATGCATAATATCTAGTGCTATCAGTTAAAGCAGTAAAACCATAACTTAGTGTTTACTGAAGCAAAACAGTTAAGTTTTCTTCATTAACATTTATTTTGTATATAACATTCATTTACAAAGTTCATAAAGATCAATAAAGTAATACAATCCTTATAATGATAAAATTATTTTTAAAGTACGAGGAGCAACACTGCAACAAAGACAATGGTTTCATTCACACTTACAGTCTAAACCTTTTTTCTGAGTGATACTATGTACACTATTGTGATGACACTTATTGATTCTACACTTAGAAGATTCTGTGAAGTATATTCTCAAGTCACACAGACACAACCATGCCCCATAGTAAGCTAGCAACTACATGTGGTTTTGACCAAGGAATAGTGGGGGATAAAGTCTGTATTAGAACTATTACACAAAGATAGAGATTTGATGCCTACAGAATGATTTCTTTACACTATTCTAGGGAAGTACTGTCCGGTATAAATACGATGTGAGCCACATATGTAATAGAAAATTTTCTAAAAAGAAACTGCTGAAATTAATTAAAAAATGTATTTCATGTAACTCAGCTTGTCCAGGAACATATCCAAAATATGTTAAAGGGTTTCATACTAAGCCTTCAAAATCCAGTTTCTATTTTACACTTACAGCACATCTTGATCTGGACCAACCAAATTGTTAAGTGTCTAACAGTCACTACAGGATGGTGGCTACTGCACTGTACATAGTGGTTCAAGAGAATCATGGTTAAGCCTGCTGTAATGTGTGACAAGAATATTCTGGCTGGTAGTATTAAAAGTTAATTAAGAAAAGAAAGAAAGAAATTCTTCACTGAGTAAAGGGTGAAGAGACTATATAGTCACACATCAAAACCTATATATATATACTGTGGATATTATGTAGTTATTACAGAAGTAGCAGGGTTAGGAATAAAAGCTATCCATTCCCTGAAAAATGGATAAATACAGGCAGGTGAACACCATAAATACTAAAAAAGGAATTCTTTTCTGAAGGAATAAATTCTTATTCAAAACCACAGGGGAAAAATGTACATTGTATAAAGTAGCAATGTAGCTTTGAACCTTTAGAGTATCACAAAATGGAATGATTGTTAACCATCTTAGAGATAGTCTATCCTGCCACTTAGAGATACTTCTATCCTAGAACTCTAGGAATGTGCCTTTAGAGGACTGTAACGGGACTTATACCCAGTATCTTCATTTTATCATAATGGAGTCTTTTTACACTTCTATATCTTGGTAATAAACTTTGTGAATTAACTCTTTTAAGTAATTATCTGTATTATGTAACAAATGCTGCCCTAAATGGTATCCTTGGACCTCAGGGATGCACCTAATCATCCACAATAAATATAAAGCTTATTATCACTAGCAGAGAATGACTGAAACTCTTTGATATGCTACTCTATTAGACTAGGCAAAGGTTAAATCATAGTGGGGAAAAAACCCTCTATTGTTAATGTTACAAAAGAAAATAAAAAGCATTCTTGTTACTGAAATTGTGCTTCTCTCTACCAATTCCATTTTAATAAACATTTCTGACAACTTTATGGATTCAATTTTTAAATAAGGGAAATCTGATTTTTATAGATGAATTTGGGTATTTTTACCAAGGCATCATTTCAAATGAAACCACTACATAGAAAATCTGATGAACTGAATCATTTATATCCTTCTAAGAGAATATAATACAAAAATATATAAATACTACTGTATATACTCCATTAATTCTGGTAGCCATAAATACCACTACATTTTTAAAACATAAGAGGTTTTTAAAAGGTGCAAATGAAATACAGAATTTGAATTAAATTCTACATGCTATCATCCAAAAAAATTTAACAGAAAACTTTTAACCACAAAATTGCGTGTCAAAGAAAAAGTGAATAGCACAAGTAAAGTTTCTCAGAGTGTCAGGAAGTTCATGCAAGCTGTTTTTCAGTGTGGGAAAATATCAAAAATAGTGCTCAGGTCTTCACTTCTCAAAAAAGGAAGTGATTAGAAAACACTAAGGTGAATTTCAGGACTGTTATCATTATGGGCTTCTGTGTTTATATAAGGGAAGTATCTCCTCTTAGGGTATGAAAACAAGGAACCTGGTAATTCTCTGCCTCCCCCCTCCGACTATTTCTGCCAACTAAAATACTGCCTTACTCAGTAAACAGCTAAAAAATATTTTAAAATATAAACAATTGAAATAGGAAAAGAAGAACTCAAATAATGATTTAAAAGTTTTGTATTGATAGACACAGATCCTAAAAATAATCTCCAATCCAACTCTTTGTGAGGAAACATGTTCTGTGAGAAGTATTCTATTAAGCCCAGCATTTCCGGTTTTGTTTTTGCTAATCTCAAAACTTCAACTGATCTAGGAGGTTTTATAGTTAACTTTTCATGATATGTAAATAGACTTGAGATTATTCACTGTGAAATGTTAATCTGTAGCTGGCTTTGCTTTTTGTCAATCTGCAATTTTTCACTGCATGAGATGGTGGTGTTACCTAGAGAATGCCAAATGAAATCAATAAAAATATAATCTGGGAAGTCAATTTTGTAATGAAACAAACTCTAAAGTCACAGAAAAGCTTCATTTAGGTTTTTTAAAATTATTGTTTTGAATTAAAATTGTACTTCCTCCTCTTCATTTTCATGTAAATGAAAAATTACTAGGTCAGGACTAGATTTATAAATTATTTATCTTACTTTTCTATACAACCTTAAAAAATATACCCAGACTATGGTCTCTATGTGCTCTTTCCTACAAAGAAGAATCATAGCTTTTTGGAGAAATGGCTGACTCTGGGCTTGGGCCACAAAACGTATAAGATTATTCTGGAACATCTTGTCCTGTCAGAAATCTAAGATTCCTAGGGTTATGCCAAAAGGACTCAAGAGTCAACTAGAAGAGGCTTTTACTAGTCAAATGTCGGACAATTAGAACGTCGATTAGAATAGCAACAGCAATGAACAGATACATGACACGTCTTTAAATCCAAAAATTCATAATGATATTTAAAAACTAACTCATTGGTCACCTGTGAAAGATGGTAGGAAACTATCTTATTGTTTTGGTAACTGACATATAAATAGAAAAAAAAAAAAAAAAGTACTTATTCCTGTCTTCCCTGTATGAATTGTACTTCAGGGTAACCAAATGGCTGATGAAGTAGAGGGATTCCAGCCATAAAAAAATGTAAAAATACTACCGATTTACAATCTTTAATAAAATAAAGGATCTAAACAATGGTCATCAGTGGTTGTTGAGTGGAAGAACTAGATATATGATATGCTTCTTGATGAAAGTATAGGACCCATCCTAAAATGTATTCTTACTAACCAACCAACAAACCTGAATATGATCCAAAAATATAAGAAAAAAGGCAGGCTGGGCGTGGTGGCTCATGTCTGTAATCCCCGCACTTTGGGAGGCCAAGGCGGGCAGATCACCTGAGGTTGGGAGTTCGAGACCAGCCTGACCAACATGGAGAAACCCCATCTCTACTAAAAATACAAAATTAGCTGGGCTTGGTGGCGCATACCTGTAATCCCAGCTACTTGGGAGGCTGAGACTTGAGAATCACTTGAACCTGGGAGGTGGAGGTTGCAGTGAGCAGAGATTGCGCTGAGATTGTGCCATTGCATTCTAGCCTGGGCAACAAGAGTGAAACTCATTCTCAAAACAAAAAAACAGAAACAAGAAAAAAAGAAAGAAAAAAGGCAACCCAGGGATGCAACTAGAAAAATCCAAACTATGAAAAACCAGACTATGATAAAAGACCAATTTCTTCAGTAAATAAATTGTGTATGGGTGGGTGTGTTTGTGTGTGTGTGAGAAGTGGGCAGTCTGAGGTGTGAGCATAAGCCAAAATATTATTATTATTATTATTATTAAACTCTTGAGTTCAGGGGTACAAGTGCAGGTTTGTTGCATAGGTAAACTTGTGTCATGGGGTCTGTTTGTAAAAATTATTTAATCACCCAGATATTAAGCCTAGTAGTACTCATTAGTTATTTTTCCTGATCTTCTCTCTCCTCCCACCCTCCACTCTCCAACAGGCCTCAGAGTGTGTCATTCCCCTCTACGTCCATATGTTCTCATCATTTAGCTCCCACTTATAAGTAAGAACATGTGGTATTTGGTTTTCTGTTCCTGTGTTAGTTTGCTAAGGAGAATGGCCTCCAGCTCCATCTATGTCCCCGAAAAGGTCACGATCTAGTTCATTTTTGTAGCTGCAGAATATTTCATGGTGTCTGTGTACCACATTTTCTTTATCCAGTCCACCGTTGATGGGCATTTAGGTTGATTCCATGTCTTTGCTATTGTGAATAGTGCTGCAATGAAAATATGCATGCATGTGTCTTTATAATAGAATGATTTTATACTCCTTTGGGTATATACCCAGTAATGGGATTGCTGGGTTGAATGATATTTCTGTCTTTAGGTCTTTGAGGAATTGACACACTGTCTTTCAAAATGGCTGAAATAATTTACACTTCCACCAACGTCAAGTCTCTTCTAAAGACACCTGAAAGACCTAA